AGCTTTGATTCAAAGATCAAAAAAGGAATATTAACATTTAGGAAGACACTTGAAATTCTACTTTTTATATCTAATAAAATCACTTTTTATTTAGTAATTTACTCAGAGTATGTATTAATACCTGGGGGAGCAAACAACTGTGCATATCTCTCTATCAGTGTTATAGAGGGCGAACAATTTATGAGTTTGCCCTGCATAAACTTTATGCAGGGCAGAACGGATTTATCTGGGTTTAGACCCCACTGGGAGTTGGGCATCTGAGTGCTAAAGACAAGCACGCTACTGCGAGCTGTTTTCAGGTAAACTTGCAGCTTTGGGACAAGTGATTCAGACCCTGGATCTGTGTCTGGAGCCAGACGGGAGTGTCTGGCTCAGCAAGACAGGGTGCTGGAGTCCTGAGCTGGCAGGGAAAACGGGCTCAGAGGTAGTCCCAGCACATCTCTTTCTTGAGTCGTAACAGCTCATTTAGACCTCATCATTTTATATGTATACTTGGGATTATGTTTTCCGATGTGCATTACTTTGCATTTATCAACAGAATCCCGGCTGCTGGCTGGTGACAACACTGCAGGGCTTTCCCTCTGGGCGGCACCACCCAGCCAAGGACCAGCATCTCCCAACCCCTGTGTAGTGTGGGGCTGGGGGGCACTGCCTGGCACTGGCACACCAGGCCATTGGGGTCATGCCGCTCTTGGAGACCCGTAGCTCAGGCCAGTCGCCCACATCCATTCTCATCTGCCCTCCCCTGGGTACGTGCCCAGCCGGCTAGCCTGAGCTACTGCAGCCACACAGCTACTTTTAGCCCGCCAGCTCAAATCAGAGCTAGCACGTCTCCGTCGACTGCCCTGGGAACCAGCCGCCCAGCTGTGCCCTTAGGGCCGAGGACACGAACCCCCAGACAGAGCTGTGTGCTCCTGCCAAGCAGGGCGTTCACCTATCTCATAGAACTGGAAGGGACCTTGGAAGGGACCTTGAAAGGTCATCGAGTCCAGCCCTCTGCCTTCACTAACAGGACCAAGTACTGATTTTGACCCAGATCCCTCAGTGACCCTCTCAAGGATTGAACTCACAATCCTGGCTTTAGCAGACCAATGCTCAAACCTCTCAGCTATCCCTATACAGATGCTCACACCCTCGCTCGTCTCCTGCCACAGCTGCTGCTGCAATCGAGACACCTCGCACTGCCTGGGAACGGGTGAGTGAGCAGGGCTGTCGGGGAGGTGCCGAGGACTCTGGGCTGCGAGAAGCAAGAGCAAGTGAGCATGTGCACCCAGGGCTGCCACGTGCCCGGCTCACACGGGCCAGCAAAGAGAGGTCGATCTGGATAGGGTCCGTCTCCGAAAGGACATTGCAGAACTAGCGGGTTCAGAGGAGGGCAACGGGGACCAACAAGGGCCTGGAAAAAACTCTCCCATGAAGAGCCTGGGCTTGTTCACTCTTATCCATCTCCTCTCTAAGGTGACATGCTCAACATGAATAAAAGAACGAATGGGCTACAGAACGAAGATCCAGCGCTTCTCTTCTCCTTGTCTCAGGATACAGCAACAAGGGGACAGCCAGCGAAAGCGAAAGGTGGGACATTGTAAACTTAGCTAGGAATTGCCTTTTCCACACGACACATAGCCAGCCTGTGGAACTCACTGCTACTGGATGTTGTGGGGGATGAAAAAATTGGCAAGATCCAAGAATTGGTCATTTCTGTGGATGACAGGAATGAGACACGAACTTTTCAAAGAAGGTGGGTGAAAATTCAAATGAACCTTCACGGAGGTTTCCTTGCCAGGGTCGTCTGGTTCTTTAGGGGTCAGGGATCATCTAGGAACCACTGAGCAAATGGGGGTGAGTCTGATCTTGGCCGGCGCAGCTCCAGGGGTGAAGTTCAGATCCAGGGGACCCAGGTGGCTGTGGGGAAGGGGGAGCCTCTGGGAGAACAATAATCCCAAGCCAGCACAAGAACAGTGTCACAAGCACAAGACTTTTTCTCCAAGCTCAGTTTATTTTTTAACCCAAAAGGTAAAAAAATAACAACTTGCTGGGAGTTAATTAACAAGCCAGGCAAAGCTCCCAGCGGCTGAGCAGGCAGGCGAAGAATCACCACCCCTGAGCCTTCAGCGAGACCCTGGAATCTCGTATCGGTAATAGAACAGGGAGAACTGCAGGAAGCTGGTGAGAAGCGATGGGGACCTCTGTGAGACCCTCCGGAAGCCCATGCTCTCGTACAGCTGCTGGGCCGAGTAGTGAACCATGGTGGTGGTCAGCACGACCGCACTGTACCCGCGTTCCTGGGTGAAGCGGATGACCGTCCTGCAGAGCGCCTTGGCGATGCCCCGGCCCCGGTGCTCTCTCCCCACGGACATGCGCTTTAGTTCCAGGGCGCGCCCCCTTTCCGAGGGGTCCTCCGGCAGCATGGCCCCAACTATACCCACCACCGCCCCCTCAGCCTCTGCCACCCAGAAACAAGAGTCTGCTGCCTTCAGGTAGGTTCTCCGGATGTCTAGTAGGTCATCACGAAGAAACTGCTGGGCGAAATTGGTCCAGAGAGACCGGATGGAAAACCAGCCCCCGGTGAAAGCGAGCAGGAGAGCCAGGAGGGAGACCAGGAGGGACCCGGAGGCCGCGAGTACTGCCAAGAACAGGCCCAGGAAGTGCAGCTGGGCCCGGAGACGCTTCAGCATGTAGATGAACGCAGCAGGAGTGTGCTCCATAATCCCGTGGCCGAACATGGTGCACACGGCCTCGTAGTCACAGTCCTCGTACTGCCGGATGCGGTACGGGGCCATGGGGCCGCGCAGCCCAGGCACCCTAGGAGAGACACAGTTTAAATCAGGGGAGCGGGTTGGGACATGGCTGATCCACCGGTCACTTCCCGCAGTGCCCCTGGATTCTCGCTGCTCCTCCTGACAGATCCCAGCCGGGAGGGCACAGGTGGGCGGAGGTGGCAGCAGCTCAGGGACAAAGTGAGGGTCTCGGACGAGAATCAGGCTCCCTCGTGCGCTAGCCAACTGCACTGGGCTTCCCCCCACCTTCACTGACTCCTGGCAAACACCTTCCACGCCTACACCCACAGCGCAGCCATCTCATCACCCCCACTCCCAGCTACCTCAGCACCCACCCATCAGCCCTGCCCTGTGAGAGGAGCACCAGGAACAGTTTGGGGGCAGGGGGAGACAATCTCTCCCAGGGGCTCAGCATAGATGGGCTGAGGAGCAGGACAGGGGGCTTCACTAGGCGGACGCTGCCCCTTTAAACGCCAGCCCTAGCTGGCGACAGGCTGGCCGTGGAGGTTCCATGCCCCACGCTCCAAGCAGCTCCACAGACTAACGGGCTGCGATCCC